GTGGGCGGAAGTTCGCTGCAGAGATCAGCCTGTCATTGGGTGGAACGAGCCACCCGCTGAAGTCCCGCCCTACCACCTCCAGTTGTGTAGCAGTTTTCAACCGTTTTCAACACGTCCTTTACTAACTTTTGCGGTGTTTGATCTTGCGGGGATGTAGCCATTTTTCTGCCATGGTTCGCGTTCTGTAGGTGATATTTTTGTGGGCGTGTTACACCAAAACCTGTTTCCCCCCGGCAATATTTTTGCAAGCGCACTGTTGCTGTGGCACTGCCCAGAACGATTGTGATTGATCAGATACCGTAGCTTTGTCATGCCCCTTGGCGTCTCATAGTGACACACAAGGCACCTTTTAGCATATCTTTGTTAAGCACAGTTGAAACACATTGTAACGTACTAAAGGTTGTGAAACGGTTGCAGTTAGGTTTAGACAACAAAGTCATTGGTTAGGTTTAGAAAAAAGATCATGTTGTCATCTTGTTATTTAAGTAACCCGATGTAAAAATGTTGTGGGTGACATCAGTGTGCAACGACTGTGGATAAGTTACGTAACATTACTTTTAAACAACACTGCTCTTCAGAAGTGAGTAAATCACCACAGACACCCATCTTAAATTACAATATAGCAAATTTCCCTGTTCATAAGAACTATACAGGGGGTGAATTTTTTATATAATTCACCTGTTTTCATTCCATTAAGGCTTAAAATTCTGCAAAATAATGGTGGAGCCACTTTGAGTGACACGGTGACTGCCGATAGCATCCTCGGCATCTCAGTCAGATCCACCCCTCGCTCGTCCACAGCTCCAGCCTCTCATCCAAATATGGTCACGTCTGTCTCCAAGAAAGGTGGTGACAGCTGAAATGTCGAACTCGAGGCTTCGAAATAGCAGTTCATAAACCAATGGGTGACGTCATGGTAGCTACATCCATTATTTTATACAGTCTATGCCACTAAGGACACAAACGGTGTTGTCCTGGATAAAAGTCTGTTTTTGTTTAACCCATCCACCTGAGTGGACTGTCTCATTCTTTTAACTACGTAACTTTCTCTCAGCTTCAAGTATGCTGTGGATGGGCTTGCATTGGGGTTAAAAGCACAGTGCATCCCATGAATGCCCCAAAGGCTGCCTTTTGCAACAAAGTGTAGGTATTTGACGCACAGGAAATGAGAACAGGGTGGTAGGTTGGTATCTATAAATGGCTGAAACACAGGGTTACTGCAGGACAGGGAGGAGTGACAGTATCTGAAACAACAGGAGAGTAAGTACATGGCAGAGGAAAAGAGCAGACAATGTGGCTGTCATTATGACAAGCTGCTGGCTGCTGGCAAAGTAATCACTGAGTAGATGAAAGAACAGGTAGACAGAAAAAGAGTAAGAAAGAGAAAATGTAAGCTTTAATGGGAAAGAAAAAGATCTGATTGGAATGTAGTTTTAGATGTATTAATAAAAACACAAAAAGAAAATCATGCTAAGTGAAACCAGATAAGGAATGTTCGCAGAGCTTTTATAAGCCTTTTTAGGAACTAATTAGAAATCAATTGAGGTATATGTCCCTGACTGTATTCAAAGGACTTGATTTTCATGCAGTTTTTTATAATTAACTAATAACTCAAGGTCCGGCAGTGCAGTGGTAAGCCAAGCTAGTACCTCCCATTACTTCACCAACAAGCACAAACACACACACACACACTCATTTTTGAAAGAAAAAAAGTCTGTTTCTGTAATCCCTTTGGGAACCCTGCTTGCACAAGAAGGAAAAAAATCACCCCAGTCTATTCATTTCTTTACAGGATCAAGTTTTCTACCTAAACCTTTTAAGGGCCACCATGAAAGTGGAGATCAAGGCAAAAAAATAAATAAATAAATTTAAAAAAGTGAAATGAGGCAAAGAAAGAAACAAGGATGAAGAGTAGTTGGAGATACTTCAGAATCAGTTTAAGAAACAGGAGACTGCTTTTCGACTTGTTTAATGGTTAATGCCAAGATTTCTTTGTTCCACGGACCTTGTGTTGTGTTACAGTGAGTGAAAAAGGAACAAGATTTTTGATCCCATACTGGCTAAAAGGACACTGATTGGGAACACTGGGAGAGGCGATGGTTATCTTTAATGGGCCATCTTCCTGCAGTCTCACTCCCTTGCTTGGGATGACAAGACTAAAAGAAATTAAAGGAGGGAGGAGGAAGGAAAGGACAAATTTGGACTGGGTGAAAGTGTGCCCACAAGGAAATGATCCAAGAACTTAAGGGGCCAGAGTCAGAATCTGTTTTCTTCTCAAATAATCCCTCTTTCCAACAAGAGTCAGGCCAATTTATTTTCTCAAATCTCTTTGATAATCTTTGGGTCTTTCATTTCAGCCCTTTCACATACACACTGTCCTTTCCATTTGAAAGCCCTGAGCATTCTCCCATTTTGCCTTTTTGCTGTCTCAAAGGTGCTTGTCAAGAATGGTGTCTGATTTCTATGTGCAGAGGTGGGGGTTATGTTTATATGGATGAGTGGAAGTAAGAGAGAAAAGGCAAATTTAAAGGATAATTCACACAAAACAATGTCAACAGTCTCCATGGGGACTATTTCTTTGGTAGAAAGTAGGGGAGAGTCACCTTAAATGTTAAGCATTACAGTTGTAACAAGCATGTTTTCTCTTGCTATGTTAATGTCATCATGACGTCATTATGCCAACATGTGGCCAGTACAATTTTAAACATACAGCACCTGAAAAATGTCAACAGGATTCTTCCTCTCTGCAGGGAATGGCTGCTGGAAAACCAGTCTAGCACTAAGTGAAAATGAAAACCCAGGGATATTTTTCAAATATAAATTTGTGTTTGCATGTTGTGGAGCTACAATCCACACAGCTGTCTGCATGTTTCTGTTCTCCATCAGTTAGCAAAGCATTCAAATGTAATGCATGCTAGTTGTGGTATGTAGGAATGCTAAAGCACAGGTGTGCCCGGCAGCTCATTTGTGACACCTGTTACATTTTTAAATGCCTAGATTTGTGAGCACAGCTTGATTACCTTGTATACATACTGTATTACATATGTAGACCTTGGCTATAGCATAGACTGTAAGGCTTAGTGACTTGGGGTGTTGCTTCAGCTACCCTCCAGGGGTCAGTGTGCAGTTACACACAGGCGTGCCAAAGCATGTATTCAGTATTCTTAATCTATTCAACTTAAAGAGGCAACAGATAGGATTCTTTTTTTTTAAGCTTGGCGCCACCTAGCGTCAGTGGGGTTGCAATGACCAAATTGACCGTGGGGATCAGAGATAATCAATAATATGACTCTGTTAGACTCTCTAAATTAAATAAAATGTAGGCTGTAAAGCCACCGGTATACCTCTATGTATATGTAGAATGAGAAGGTGTGTGGACACTCTACTAAATAAATGAGTAAAGAGACCGAGCAACAATTATCAGATTTATCTTAAGAAAAAACAAGTAGTAATGCAAATAATTATACCAGAATGCACAGTACCAGTACAAACAACTCCCAGTAAATTATACTACTATGTACAGCATCAGTACAAACAGTAGACACAGTGGAATTATACCAATATGCACATATAAACAGTCCCGATTCTAGAATAAACGGTACCATATGGAAATGATGCAGCCGGTTGGAGCTCAAATTGAATGGGAAACAAAGTTCAGTGTTCACTTAGCTGGGCGTAACTTAGCTGGGCGATGTCCGTCGATGGCTGCCTTCGTGAGAAGAGAACAGAAGGGAGGGAGGAGGGTATCACTGTCCTAGGGCTGCCGTAGAATGGCAACGAGGATGTCAACCGACCAACACTCGCTACCTGGTCCCTAGTTGCGGCGATTTGCGATGCTGGCCAGCTAGGAATTAACTAGCAGCCAGTACAGTACAGTCCTCTCTTGTCTAGCTAACATTTAGCCGTGTTACTTACTGATCCATTAGAAAGAAAGCTAGCTGGTTTTGAAGCCTCTTTGGTCATGGAGCTCCCTCCATCTCTTGAACGCCGGACTGAGGTTTACTTGTTTTTCCTCTTCTTTTATCACTCTCCTTTTTGCTCTTCTTTGCCTCCTCAGACAGAGGAGCTCATTTTCTTTTGCTAGGCCGTTTTTCACTTGTCTCCAAACTTTGTCCATCTGCCATTGTGCTCGTGACTCAACTATCTCATGTCCAACTCCTCATAAGGACCAGCTCCAGTCCCTGATTGGCTGACCGACCAATTTCGCAATATATGACGCGTTTCGTGCCGTATAGCAGAGGGTTTTTTTTTTTTCAGATTTTCTTCGGCACCGGTGGCAGAAACTTATTGCAAAGCCACTAAGTAACCAATGTAAACGTGATAGTCTGATTTTACTGTGGCCACTACACTGTGCAACCCACATTATTTTCATAATGATATATTTAGGAAAAGATGCTATCTGTTGCCTCTTTAACTATATATGTGGATGAAGCCTAATGAATGCATTTGCCAAAGAGGACGGAGGTGAATGCTCCAGCTGCTACATCCCTTAAGTTTTAATATTATCATTATGTTTAATAGATTATATCACATCCTTGGTATAAAATCAGTGTGGAAACAGTTGCTTGCCTTGACCTCCACAGCTCCATAATATAGGCTAACTGGCAACTGTTTAAATTTGCATATTTGGCTACATTTGTCTTAGACTGTGGGAAAGACGGATAAGTTGAGTTATGAACAGAGTGTTGTCAAACGATAGAGTGGAGAATTAAATAAGTAGACAGAAATTGTTGCAGCCTCTGAAATCCTCAGCATATGCTATATGCTATAGCTAGCTAACCACTGCCGGGTCTATTTGCAAGCAAATGTTAGCCACTGGAATGTTTGCTAGTAGCCTATGAGCTAACTGTATGTTTCCGCTAAAACCTGGTAGCTTCAAAAGTCACAATGTGTAAGCATTCATATGATAGAAGCAAGAAGCTGAAATGTACGGTTAGCTTGTGGGCTATTGCAAACATTCCAGTAGCTAATGTTAGCTTACAAGCAGCTGTAGTAGTTAGCTAGCTATACCATATGGAATACTCACTGGAAAATTTGAGAGCTGCAACAATATCTGTCCACTTTCATTGAGAGCAAGAACAATCTTGCTAATAGTGTTGTATACTGTTGTAATAGTGTTGTGGGAGAGGCAAAAAGTGAATAAAAAACACCCTGAATATGTTTAGAACTACAAATAAACTTTCTTCTGTCGATTCTTGTTTTATTTAATGTAACAATTCCAAACCTCCTCCTTTATCCAGGCTTGGGACCTGCGAAAGTGACCAAAAATGACACTCTGGCAGAGTTAGGTGTTTTTTTGTTTGTTTGTTTATTTTTTTTCCTCAGCATGAACTTAAACATTTTTAACCATAACATTTTTACACTGTAAAAATTGTACATATGTTTTTCTGTTTTTCAGAGCCCCCCTCCACACACACTCATGCTGTGCAGGCTCACAGAAAGAGTGGGTCATCCTCATTTGGTCAAGGCTCTCTATGGCAGGTTCAGTAACTGAGGGAGCAGACTTAAATAAGTAACCAGCTGACGTGCCAAAAAGTTGCAAAACGTTATCAGGCAGCTGGTGCTCATAGCAAGCCTCACCAGACAGATTCAGTCCATACCAGATGTACAGGATGGAGTTAAGGGTCTGCAAGGACATCCAATTTCTAAGTTTGCTTTTTACCACACTCATCTGGCTGAATACTCTCTTGACTTCAGCATTCAAGTGTGGCAAGGACAACACAGACACAGCAGCCATGGCAAGTTCTTGAACTTCTAAATCTCACTCCAGAAACCCAGTGTGCTTTTTGTCTTGTTCCCTTACGATGGATGGCACGCCATTGCTGGACAATCTTGTCGATCACTGCAGGGGAGTAGCCAAGGAGCTTGGCTATTACTCTTATTGTGCTTCAGAGTTTCCTCCATATTGAAAACTGACGTACTGCAATGCTTCGATGTTGTCCAGCAGTCTCACCCTCAACTCACTAGTGAGGGAGATGGTGAAGTCTACACACCGCTTTCGGACACAGTTTTCATCCTCAGGCGCAAGGTGGAGCTCAGCTGTCTTTGACTCAAAAAGGTAACTAAAGTACGGTTTGGGACTGATGTATCCAGCTATTGGCCCTTTGAGTACATCAACATTTGCCAGTGGATTCAGTACCCTACTGCTCACAGACTTATCAGGCTAACCAAGCTGTCAAGTAGCTTAAGAGGATCTACCTGTTCTCCCTCAAAAGCTTTGATGGCCAACTGTACCTCACCCAGCACCGACTTCAAAAAAGTCAGATACACTGTACATGGAGTGTAAAACCTCAGCCATGTTGCAGTTTTCACTTGACTTAGTGACTGCAAAATGCAGCCTAAGCTCCTCCCACTGGTCCAAAATGCGTGAAACTGTGGGTTCAGTGAAAAGCCAACATGTGGATGTATGTATGGATGCCGGCCACCTATGGGACAGTCACACAGACATTTGGTTATCTTATACTACATACAGAGTGGACACATGAATCATAGATACTGTCTGTGTGTGTGTGTGTGTGTGTGTGTGTGTGTGTGTGTGTGTCTTACCTGTGGACAAGCCCTCTGTCGAGGTAAACTTGAGTTTTAAATAAATGCTTATGGTCAAGCAGGTCATACAACAGTGCTCACAGCTGTCACACTGTTGAGGGACTGGCCTGGTATTCTCGGACCATAAACCATTCTGGAGAGGCTTTTGAGAAGGTACCTTAAATACACAATGACAGAAACAAAGACAGAGGGACACAGTCAGAGACGATTAAAAATAGGGCAAGACGTGAGAGAAGAGGGGGAGAATCCTTGTTAAAATATCAGGAGAGGCCAGATATCATACCACAATAATAATAGTAATATCCCTTTCTCACGATTCAGCCACAACCAAAATCAATCACTCAGGCACTCGGGACAATGGATCCAGTTTCCACTAGGATGTTTTTCAACTTAATGTCTTGAGTGCATCCCAATGGCTGCATCCACCATCTGCTTCAGGATGATCTGTGACAGAGGGTGAAACAGATGAGTGAATGGAGCGGGGTTGAAGTAAAACATTCATATCAGCAAAATCTGTTAGCTTTGCCAGCTAAGACATAGCCCTGTGGATATACACCCTTAAAACCAAATGTGTTTTTACACCTCAGCATCAAACAAACAAGATATGATGTATTAATGAGTGACCTACAGAGATGCTGGTTGGTGGATTGTGTTACCTGGACAGAGGTAGGGCTGTAGTCTCCTGGTCGACTTGTCGATTAGGCCTATTTGGTCGCTATGCTCTCGTCCGACCAAATTCTCATTGCTCGAATAATCGCTGTGTTACTTTCATAAGGAGATCATAAGGAGAATAGCTTTCCAGGATTAATCCATTATTTCCTGCGGCGGGGGGGACAGGCTAAGTTACCAGTGAAATGTGGGTGTTTTCAAAACACAGACCTCCAGTTCCTGTATACTGACACCATTTCCCTCAGTGGAAACAAAGCTTGGATTTACTTGTATTTCACAGATAAGAAACAATAAATTGTGAAGACAGTAAAGCCTCCACTAAAATAGCATTTTAAGATTTATCCTGGCTTCATATGAACAGAGGAAATCTCTCGTCGCTAGGCTAATGTATACCATGTAAAATGCCATGGGCTAGCGCTAATAACGTTAACATGTTGTATTTGTTTGTAAAACTTGTTTAGTGCGACAGTTGTTTTGTCGGAGAACCTTGTGAGTTGTAATGAAGCCAAATTATGTGCCATTATCTTTGTTAAATGTTGCTGTTGTCCCAGGCTTTACATTAGAAGAGGAAAAGATCGCTAGACACTAGGCTAATTTATGCAATGCAAAATGCCATAGACTTGTGCTAAAAATGTTAGCATGATGTATTGGTGGGGGAAATGTGTCCAGATAAAGACAAGTGTTTGTCTGTCAATTCTGCGATTTATAGTGAAGCCAATTTGTGTACTTGTGTTTGAAATTGTCCCTATAGAGTGTGCCAGGGCTGACGTCAAAACCTGGACATTTAGCATCGCGCTGGTTCCCGGAAGAGAAAGTGAATGTGATTTTTGCATTGCGTTTTGGATTATGTCAGAAAATAAGCTCTGTGGCTAACACAAGTTTACGATACTTACAGGTTTTGTTCAACGAGATAATCTTCACATATGAACACCTTTCATACCGCATTTGAAGCTTAAACGCGATCGCCAGAAGTAAAAAGCTAACGTTAGGCTTTAACAGACTACATGACTACTCCACGGTCGCATGACTCTTGATGTCACCGCCACTAAGCTTTCAACTGATTTCAGCCGCTTTATTTTAAAAATATTGTATAATGGGGAAATCGGACTGTTTAAGCTAAATAAGAAGCTGTAATGGCAGACTGCCAGCACTCTTGCCTGTTCGGGGGTGATGACGTTCAATGTCCCCGACAGGGTTTGTAGTCGTATTGAGCAACTTGTTAGCAACCGCCTTTTTTCCGACACGTAAAAGCTTCAAAATTCACAAGTAGGGTATTTACTGATGTGTTTATGTCGTAGAACAAAACCTGAAACTCGCTTAAGCTTTTATTAACCACAGACCTTATTTGAGGCATTTTACCAAAATCCCATTCAAAAAACGTATTGACTTTTAGACGAAAGAACCGGAAGTGCTAAAGCGCTGACGGAGTTCCGGGTTTACTGGCACACTCTACTAAGCCATGATTAATGTGTGTTTTGAATCAACTAAATTTTACAGCACTTAACACAGTCCTCCACTGCCAACTAGTGTTTTGGAGATGTAACTGCAGACTAATCGATTAGTTGAAGATTGTGCGACTTAAGTCGACCAAGATTTTCTTTGGTTGACTACAGCCCAAGACAGAAGCAGGTTTGCTGATTTCTATTACCAGCTAAAGTAACCTAACATTCATAATTAACAACAAACAGGATAGTGTTAAAAATCTTTTCATCTAACTCTGCACCAAAGAAAAAAAAATTCTTTCCCCAAAACATCAAATTATTCTTTTAAAGCAGTTGCTTAAACTTTAGATCACTTCTCTTAACCTGATGTGTTAAAACATTGGTGGGACCAAACCTGCTACGATGATCACCAGACAACAGTGGCGCCATAGGGGAGGAAAAGTAGGACAATTCCAAGGGCCCCTGACTGACAAAAATAGGTAAAAATTAATATAAATTAATTAATATAATTAAACCATCATCATTACGTTTTTGTTTTTTGTTGTCAAATATAGTATAGAAATAGAAATTAATGATTTCTTTGTTTTTACTTGTTTTTGGCAGTAAAAGTTAAATATCCCCACTGACCAAAAAGTAAACATATTGATTGACCACCCCCCTGTATCTGCATGAAATGGTTTGGTCCTGCCTTAGCACGCTGACAGTGAAGGTGCCTAGTAGCAGTCAGCAGTTGCGCCTCAATGCTACAATCATCATCATGCTACCTAGTACTAAAAGAGGGAAAAACGCCAGCACTCTCAAATGTCCTTTTAGTTCAGTTTAATAATCCAGCTTGGATGGCAGTACCAGTACACAGACGTTTCGACAGTAAAGTCTTCTTCAGTGTGTCAGTCACACAGACTCTGCTGTTATTAGGCAACTCCTACACCAGCTCCTCTGATCGTCAGCACTGAACCTCTTGGCAAAGTTTAGGGCATGACGTTATGAGACAGTAGTAGGCTATATGTCTCAATTGTGTGCATACTGCATGCAACAGTACCCATTTTTTAGGGGCCGCTGCAGTACAGACTATAAGTAAAAAGAAAAAGTACGCGATTTGGAACACACGCTAAGAGTGCCTCTAATATTTCAGTAAGAGACACCGAGGACCATTGGCCAAGCATCAGTATTTGAACACAGTTCTCTGAAATACAATGAATATTTATTTGTGATCATTGTTAAGATATTAAACATTGTGCAAAATATTGTCAATCAGAGGCTTCAGTACAAAAGAATCTGTATCTGTGCTCTACTTGTTGACAGTAGGGGTGGGGGAAATTTCCGATTCTTAGATGCATCGCGATTCGGACGTGGACGAATCTGAATCGATTCACAAACGTCCAAATTTTGATTATTTAAATCTGTTAATTAAAGTAATACAGAAGGCTCTGAATAATGCGGAACTAAGAAGCGCGGTACGCGTCATCTCCGGGACACTTTGGGATGCGCACCTGGAGCGGGCATGCCAACACGCGCACAGAGGAAAACAAACATGGCTGACCGCTACCCACCTCGCCTTGAGATCCGAACAGCTCCTTCTAATTTAAAAGCAGATGTGTGGAAACACTTCGGCTTCTACAACGTCGACGGCGGAAGCAAACTGGACAAGAGCCACGTTATATGTAAGCTGTGTCGTGCTAAAATAAAATACTTTGGCAACACAACAAACATGAGAAGCCATGTAACTAGATCCCACCCGATGGAGGAGTCAGGGAGGCAGCAGGCTGTTGTTGCTGCGGCTACAAGTGGCGCTACCGACCAGAGAACAATCGAGGAAGCAATTAGAAAGCTGCCACCCACATCGGAAAAGGCAAAGCGAATTACGAAGGCCATCGCGGCATTTATTGCCAAGGATTTGCGTTCTTATTCCATCGTGGAAAATCATGGATTTCGAGCACTGCTGCATACATTGGAGCCCACATACACCATCCCATCCTGACGATATTTCACCGACACGGCCATCCCGACACTCTACAACCAAACCAAAACAGAAGTCATGGCCTCGCTGTTGAAGGCAGGTAGGATCGCAGTTACATGTGATGCGTGGACGTCTGTCGCCACCGAATCATTTATTACGCTAACTGCGCATTTTATCACCGATGATTGGAAGCTAAGGTCACATGTGCTCCAAACAAGAGCAATGAATGAAAGACACAGGTGCTAATGTGGCTGAGCTGTTAAGCAGTGCCGTGAATGAATGGAAAATCGACATGAAAGACATTGTTTTGGTTACAGATAACGCCGCGAATATGGTTGTCGCTGCTGAGCTGGGTCACTTCGTCCATCTGAAATGCTCTGCACACACGCTAAACCTTGCCTCTCAGCGTGCCCTGAAGTTGCTGAGTGTAGCAAGGTTGCTGGGGAGAATAAGACGTATTGCAACTTTTTTCCACCGCAGCACCATCGCCAAACACCAGCTTGAAGAGAACCAGAAGCTGCTTAATATTCCAAGGCACAAACTGAAAATTGACTGCAGCACTAGGTGGAACAGTGCATATGAGATGGTGAGCAGGTTTTTGGAGCAACAGCCTGCGATCACCGCCACACTCCTCTCCCCTCTGGTGAGAAGAGCAGAGTCAGACCTCTGCACTCTCAGTGAGACTGATGTCACCTATGCCGAGGATGTCATCGCAGCCCTCAAGCCCATGAAGGATGCAACGTCTGTCATGTCAGAGGAGAGCAGCCCCACTCTTTCTCTGGTTGCTCCTTTGCAAGCTAAACTCCTTGATGAGACAAAGGACAGTACTGGGGTGTCTACACTGGTCAAGAAGATAAAGCAGGCCATACACGAGGACCTCGGCAAGAGATACCGCATCGAGCAGGAGAAGCAAATTCTTCACACAGCTGCTGCTCTCGACCCTTGGTTTAAAGGCCTGCCCTTCCTGTCAGAGGAGGAAAGAGAGGAGGCCTATGGCAGAGTGGCTGATGCTGCCTCCCAACTAGAGGTAATTCTGCAATTTTATTTTCTGTAAAATGTTACTCTGTGCTTATGATGTTTAATTATTTATTTTGTACAATATACACATTTTTTTTTATAAAGTTTTACACTTATACAAATAGATTTCATAATCCAAGATTTTTTATTTAACATTTTGGTCAAATGTGATTTGAAGTAAGTTAGTGAAGTTGTGATATAAACATTTGAACCTTTTTTGTTCACGTGTTCTTCTCATTGTGCGTTTACCTACAGCAAGATGAGCGAGAGGACGAGGAACAAACCCCTGCTGCGAGGGAAGAGGACCCCCCAAACACTGAGGGGGAGGAGGAACACAGAGCTCCCAAAAGAATGACTTTAGGCCCGTTTCCACTGAAGAAGTTCCTGGTACTATTTGGGGGGCAGGAACTACTACAGGAACGTCCTCTCGCTTGGCCCTCTCAACCGCCATGTCTCCACTGAGAGAGCGGAGTAGGAGGAAGGTCCCTGTAAAGTTACGGGCTCTGGATGTGACGTAATCGTTGCACAACCATTTACTGGGGCGACGTAGGGACGCCGTTAGCTGATAGCCCTTAGTGGTGTCTGTAATAACTCACTAAATGGCCCATGAAAAAAAAAATTCCAGCGGATGTCTTAGTTACAACATGATTGAGCTAACGTTAACTGGAGTAGTTTCATGTCGTATCCGACAACGGGAGGCTTTTAACAGATGACGTCCTGATGTTAGCCTGCTGTTAGCTGTCCCTGTCAGCTGCAGCCACTGATGCTTTCTAGACATCATGATTTCCCAAAACTGAATAAATACCACACATAGCAACACAAAACTGCTTTGCTAGCTCAATCATGTTGTAACTAAGATATCCGCTGGAAAGAATATTTTTTTCACGGGCCATTTAGTGAGTTTTTTTTACATGGCGGAGGAAGCTATATGAACGAGCTAATCCTCGTCTGCTGAGTTTTAAAAATGCCGGCTATTTTGTTGCTTTCTGTTGACATCACATCGCTCCTTGAGTATATCCAATCAGCACCAAGTAATCCCCAAGCCCCAGCCGGGAGTCTTTCAGGCCGTTCTGAGTACCTACCCCGAGGCAGGGACTTGTTTAGCCCCTTTAAATGTTCCTTAATTCTGTCCTTCTGGGGTGGTTCCTGCGGTGGAGACATGCTCCAATGGCCCCTGCCCCGTAAAATTACCCCGAAGTTCCTGCGGTGGAAACGGGCCTTTTGTCATCTTCCCTGCTGGACAATCTGCTGGGACAGAACTTCAGTGATGCTCGAGTGCGACAGCCCAGGTCTGCCTATGCCAGGGCTCAGGAAGAAGTTGACAAGTACTGTAGTGCTCCACCTCTCCGTCTCTCTGAGGACCCTCTTGACTGGTGGGGTCAGAATGAGGTACATTTTCCTCTTATTTCCAGGCTTGCCAAGAGGTACCTATGTATTCCAGGTACCAGTGTTGCTGCAGAACGAGTTTTTTCGATTGCAGGATATATTGTCACTGCACAGCGCAGCACACTATTATCTGAGCATGTCGATCTAGTCTTGTTCTTACACAAGAACTTGCAAATTTGCACAACACTCATTAGCTAAGCACATCTGAATTGACCTGCATAGAGATTTTATTGTGGCCTGTTTTTTGAGTTTTTGTAGCAATGGCCTGTTGAACGCACTTTTAAAAGGAATTTTTATGTTTTGCCAAAGGAATTCTGTGCCAAGTATTTAGTCTGAAGTCAAGTTCATATTTTTGTAAGTAGGGGCCACATTTTTTTTGTTATAGTTTAAAAATACAATTGAGCTGTAGGTACAGAATTATACATTCATGTAACTCAGGACAGCCTTTTTATTTTGCTGAAGATTGAATGTACTGTTGAGCTGCTGATACAGAATGAGTATTTTATTTGTAACTCAGGGAAAACCTTTTCATGTTTACAAAACTTAAAAAGCAGCAAAGCACTTTTTTTGAGCTGCTGGTACTGAAGTACACATTTGTAATTAATTGCAGTGTTTTTGTGCTCTTTTATTTTATTTTAGTTTATTTTATTTTATGTTGAACAGCCAAAACAGAATGTTTTATTTTTCTACAAAATGCTGCCATTTATTTTGGTATAGCAATTATTATTTTTTTGTCAATGGTTATGTTGATAACTGTATTGCAATTTTGTTAACATTTTTACTTAAATGTTTATAAGGAATCTTGTGATTTTAAGATACCTGTTGTTACCTTTGGTTCCGTACGACCAAGTTGTAACTTTCCAGTTTGCATGCATTTCCGTTTATATGTTCAATAAAATATAATGGAAATGAATTCAACTGTTTATTACAAATGCACTGTTTTTAAAAATTGCAAGTGTTGAATGCTTATTCAGTGAGACAAAAAGAAATGTGTGTTGTGAAAAAGTGCATCAATATACATAAATTAAAGATGCATCAATAATCGTTTTATAATCGAATCGAAGCCCCTGAATCGTAATCGAATCGTGAGGTGCCCAAAGATTCCCACCCCTAGTTGACAGTCATCAGTTGTTTTTATAAGCCGTGTTGGAGTCACATTATTGAAACAGTAGAAGTCAAACGTTGCATCTGCCCCGACATGCAGGGGCGACTGTAACAACACACTCAATACTTTTGTACATGTAGCCCTCCCACTCAATTCTCATTTGCTATAGAATTGTCATGGCAAACCCCTTTAACACCTTAAGCATGGGAGGTGAATTGGAGGGAGTCTACTAAAATATTAAATTTGGGATATATCTACTGTAACTAGAGCATACAACCCTGCCTAGGGTGCAGAGAGGCCTGGTTAGCTGATTTTATAGCTATACTGTCTATGTGAGCTTACAACCTCCCATGCATACCTTTAACACACCAGAGCCCTACTAATACCACATTCAAACACGAATAAACATTGTGACTGCGAATATACATTACAACAACATAAAATGTTTATTGACAGAAAAACGAAACAATCACCCTTTTAAAATGATCTGGTGACCCTTTAAGTCCTTTAATAAAATAAAATAATAATACCCGGGTTTTTGTAAAACTCAGTTATGGTACCATGTCGTTGGCGCGCATGTTGGAGCTCATTTGAATCCTCATGAAAAGTGTTTCTCAGTACTCACTAATCCTTGGAGATTCAGAAACGGTTAGCAGCAGTTTCCTCAAACCGTCGGTTCAGTGAAGAAAGGTGATGAGATGGAGAAACCAGTCCTGAAGACACGTCCATGTGCTACATCATGTCCTCTGGCGGCAGCGTAGTCCCGAGCACCCTCTACAGCAGCAGTAGTATGCGTTGCAGCAGGCAGGCGGCAGGCATGTAGGCTTGAGGCACACTATGCAGAAATTCACAACACTAATAAACTCACTATTCATTCCCATACACTGTTCATATTGTCACCAGTTCACAAAATGTGCATACTCACTCGGAAAACCCGGCGCAAAATATTCTCCCTCACACACACAGTCTCCTTCTTCTCCCAGCTAGCGAGGACGAGGCTAACTAGCATTAACACACAACAGAAAATGGCGTCGCGGACATTAAGTATAATTTCCGGCTGAAACAGCTCCGAACATGGCTCACTATTACATTTTGTACCAGGTAACACACAATAAAACCCTCTGGTTCTAAGTTTCCGTTACAACAGTAACATTAAACACTTTTAAATAGCTTACAACTAGCTCCTTCGTTGCGTCATTATTCCTTTCCTCGTTTCTCCCGTTACTAGCCTGAGCCCCGTCTCCTCTTTTTTTAGTCCCACCCCCTTCTCAGAATCCGGTAGGTAGTTGACGTTCAACTTTGACAGGCACGGATTGGCTAATAAGAGATTGACACCTGGTTATTCAATTAAACAGAGGAAACTTCATGAGGCATTCACAGACCGTTCAGAACATGGGACATTTTAGTACCTTCCCAAATAAAGTACGATTATGAACTTCTCCATATTAATTAAACTTATTTCACAACAGCAGTAACTTGACAAACAATACTACAAATTATACTGCACATTTGTTAACTGATCACATGTTTAAAGGAACAAAACAGTATCATTTGTAGCAGGGCACTACATATACTTTCCAGTTTGAGGTCAAGTGTATGCTATTATGCTATGTATTTCAATACTTTCAAATGTTTTTAAAAATGAAAAAAAAAAAAAGTAACAGGGGTGTTTCGTAGGGTATATCACTGTCAGTTGTGGTTGTTTTTGTAAAGTGTTGGTATGTCATTAAAAAAATCATAAAAAGTTAAAGCAATTGTATTAAAAAAAAAAGCATAGTTCAGTATGTCATGCCTAAAAATGACATAATAAAGTCAGAGTGTTCACTTCTCCTGTGCATCCCTCAATCATATGCTGGCTCCTTAAAATGGCACTCAGCCATCTAAACTCTGAAAAGTCCTGATCCAAGATTTTTCCTTCACATTACTGTAAAATGTTCAGTTTGGCTGTTAAGTTAAAAATTCATCTGGGGGGATTAGTGGTGATTTACAATGGTCCCCCCCCCCCAATGTTAAATAAGTATTACGGCCCTGCATCACAGCGCAGCTGGTCAGAGTTTCATTCGCAACAAGCGGCAGAAATATGTTGACGCTGAAAGTAGGCTAGCATTTCACCATTCACCTCAGAAACCCGGCAAAACTGTACATCGTTCTTCTGATACCAATTACTTCAAGACTCCACTCTGGGTCAGTATCTGGACCATCTGACGGAGGTCTCCACTAAAAGTAAAGCTACCGTCCTCCTCCAGGCACCGGCCTGGATGGATCTCCTCCACAGTGTCATTAGTCGTGCGTAAAAGCGCAGTGCGCCTTTATTGAAAAATGCTGAAAGAGTGAGGGAGCGTCCAGCGGAACCCAAAACGAATAACCTTTTTTTTTAATATATAATGATTTTTTAAAAATTGATATTTTCACTCAGTTGCACCATGTTTTGCCGTGTTTTCTAACAGTGTGTATACACCACATAACCAGTTTGATATGAGTTTAAGACGATGACAGCCTCGAGCTGACTAGAAAGCGTTTAATGAATACACCTTAATTAATTCACACGATGATATCAACATCAAGAAGAACCAAAAGCCGGCTGAGTTAACCGATTCTCAGTAAGGCTGAAAAGAACTGTCCACGTGAATGCAGAGAAGAGAGGAAAACACAACACACACAAAATAGCCTAGATAAATAAAAATGAAAAGCAAACACAATTTATATCGCAATGCAGCCATATCATGTAGGCCGGTTTAATAAATCGCCACGCACTAACAGATGCTATTGTTCCTTTTTTTCTAGCTTTTTTTTTTTTTTTAAATTTTTTTTATTTATTGAACAATAAAGCGATAACAAGCAGGTACACCACAAATGGGACAGTACAAAAAATACATACAAGACCCTAAAGAATGTTGGTACAGACATAAAGACAGTAGGCCTATAACAGGACAATAAAAATAAGCAACAGAATTTAGTCAGAGGATGGGAAAAACGTTTCATAATGAGCGATAAGTTTGATACTTTTACTGTTTTCAATTAAACGTAAGGATTTCATAGTGTAATCAAATTCTAAGAGAGATGCTATTGTTCCTGCAGTAGAGGACAGGCCGGTGTTGACATAATGACAACTCTGAGGTCAGACATGTTGTTATGGACCTGATGGTTCCATGGTTGCTATGTGGTCTCTAGGTGCATTATTTCACACATTTAAACATTTAAATCAGAACAAACTTTGCATCAGAGAGAGAAGCAGCATCTCGACTTGTCCTCGACGATTTTTCAGAAAAACCAACCACGAACTGAGACCTTTTGCCTCTGGACCTCATCTTAAGACCTGCTGTCACTGACAAACGGACTCTTTCAAGGTAGACGAGAGATTTTGACACTTTTTTACAGCCCATGTTGTTTTCTGTGTATTTTACCATTGAGACTTTACAAAAATGTACTGATTTAGGCATAATATTACCAATATCGCAACATTTTGCCTACATCTGTACTATTTTAGTGTAAATGGATCAAATTGGACTGACGTTTGACTGTTACTAAGTTTAAATCCAAAGCTACTGTCTTTGGTTTACCAACTGTCTGTTTTATCTGTCCAACAAACAGCCCAGCATAAACATGCTAATAAAAATATAGCTTATATGTTTTTTAACTTCTTGGTGATATAGGCCATCAGTGCTGCAAGCAGTGACACAAGCATTGCAGCCTTATTATTTGGATATGCTCATAGTTCAGCCTTTTTCTCAATATTTAGGATGTTTTTCATTTATAAATATTTTACACAAAACATCATTTAAATATTATGTCATCATACTGTGAGAGCAACAGAGAGGTGTGTATCATGGAGATTTTTCTAGAAAGAAATGCTGATATGGTGCTGGCTTTTTCTCATTCAGCAAGAGAGTGTAAAATTGGCATGTTGTTGAATATCTGGCAAAAATGTCCCTCTGTAAAAGACAGCTATGTCTACTGTATGCATGGGCTTTAAGGACATTTTCTGTCATTTGAGGTCATGCTGTGTCTTTTTAAGTCATGTTGCCTCTCTCTGAGGTCATCTTGTGTGTCTTTGAGGTCGTTTTGTGTTGTTTTTGGTTGTTTTATGTCTCTGTTGGCCGTTGTGTGTCTCTTATGTCATTTTTGTCTCTTTGAGGTCATGTTGTGTCTTTTTATGTCCAGTTGCATCTCTCTGAGGTCATTTTGTGTGTCTTTGAAGTCGTTTTGTGTTTTTGGTTGTTTTATATCTCTGTTGGCCGTTGTGTGTCCCTTATGTCATTCATGTCTCTTTGAGGTCATGTTTTGTCTTTTTAAGTCATGTTGCCTCTCTCTGAGGTCATTTTGTGTGTCTTTGAGGTCGTTTTGTGTTGTTTTGCATCTTTTTTGGCCGTTGTGTGTCCCTTAAGGACATTTGTGTCACTTTGAGGTCATGTTGTGACTTTTTAAGTCATGTTGTATCTCTCTGAGGTCATCTTGTGTGTCTTTGGGGTCATTTTGTGTCTTTGAGGTCATTTTGTGTCATTTTGGTTGTTTTATGTCTCTGTTGGCCGTTATGTGTCCCTTATGTCATTCATGTCTCTTTGAGGTCATTTTGTGTCTTCTTAAGTCATGTTGCATCTCTTTGAGGTCATTTTGTGTGTCTTTGAGGTCGTTTTGTGTTGTTTTGCATCTTTTTTGGCCATTGTGTGTCCCTTAAGGACATTTGTGTCTCTTTGAGGTCATGTTGAGTCTTTTTAAGTCATGTTGTATCTCTCTGAGGTCATCTTGTGTTTCTTTGAGGTCGTTTTGTGTTTTTTGCATCTTTTTTGACCGTTGTGTGTCCCTTAAGGACATTTGTGTCTCTATTAGGCCATGTTGTGTCTTTTTAAGTCCTGTTGTGTCTGTCTGAGGTACTTTTCTCTTTAGGATGATTTTGTGATTTTTCCCCGCCATTTAGTCTTTTTTAAGGCCATATTGCCTCTCTCTGAGGTCATCTTGTGTGTCTTTGAGGTCATTTTGTGTCATTTTTGGTTGTTTTATGTCTCTGTTAGCCGTTGTGTGTCCCTTATGCCATTCATGTCTCTTTGAGGTCATGTTGTGTCTTTTCAAGTCATGTTGCATCTCTCTGAGGTCATCTTGTGTCTCTTTGAGGTCATTTTGTGTTGTTTTGCAAATTTTTTGGCCATTATGTGTCCCTTAAGAACATTTTCTGTCTCTCTGAGGTCATGTTGTATCTTTTTAAGTCCTGTTGTGTCTGGCTGAGGTCATCTTGTGTGTCTTTGAGGTCATTTTGTGTCATTTTGGTTGTTTTATGTCTCAGTTGGCCGTTGTGTGTCCCTTATGTCATTCATGTCTCTTTGAGGTCATGTTGTGTCTTTTAAAGTCATGTTGCATCTCTCTGAGGTCATCTTGTGTGTCTTTGAGGTTATTTTGTGTTTTTTTTGCATCTTTTTGGCTGTTGTGTGTCCCTTAAGGATATTTTCTCTTTGAGGTCATGTTGTGTCTTTTTAAGTCATGTTGTATCTGGCCGAGGTACCTTTCTGTTTAAGATAATTTTGTGATTTTTTTCCTGCCATTTTGTCTTTTTTGATGCTATTTTGAGTCTTTTTGAGGTCAATTTGTGCCACTGTAGTTATTTTTTGTCACTTTGAGACAATTTTGAGTCTGCAGTGGTTTTGTATCTCTGAGGTTTATGTACGCCATTTTAATAATTTTTGTGTCTCTGAAGTGAATTTGTTGTTGATATGGTTCCTTTGTGTCTCTCTGGGGTCATTTTGCGGCTTTTTGGCCTTTATGTGTCCCTTAAAGGACATTTTCTGTCTCTGTGAGGTCATGTTGTGTCTGGCTGAGGTACTTTTCTCCTTAGGATCATGTTTGTTATTAATTTTTTGCCATTTTGTCTTTTGAGGCCATTTTGTGTCCCTTTGAGGTCAATTTTGTCATTGTAGTTATTTTTATGTCTTTGAAGTAATTTTGAATCAGCAGTGGTTTTGTGTCTATTTAAAGTTCTGTCTGGGTCAGACTCTGGACCAGAGTCAGGCGGTGGCTCAGCTGGTACAGTAGATATAGTTCTGAAAAGAAAATGTGCTGTCAGTGCACAGTCATAACACTGAAACAATGGAGCCAAAATGAAGTTGTTAACATGATGTGGAGCAGTAGTCTGATGGCTGTATTTGTTGTTACCTTCAGATGGACCAGGAAGACCCGTGGGTCAGCCTCCTTGTTCCAGTCACGGACCGGCCAATCACCCCACAGATCGACCTCCGGAGGGTCCCGGT